TTTTGTCTAACTCTCACTGTTTCTCTGTGGTAGGAGTGTCAGCTATGTCTCCTGTTCTTGTAAGTAATGGCTTTATGAAGAAGGGGGCCTATGGTGCCCTGCAGTGCAGTGTCTCTGGTTCACCAGAACCTGTGTCTCCTGGGTGTGTTGCATGTGTTCTGCTGTTGTGTCTTGGCCCCTTCTCCCTTCAGTTCGGTCATTTCTAGTGGCTCTTTTCCTGTTTTGGACAATGGCTTGTTCCTGTGGTGTTAGTAGACCACTCTGGGGTCACATTGGCTTTGAACTGAATCAAACCAGGCATTTGTCATAGATGTAGTAGCACCAAACTGCAGGACACTTTCCCTGTGTTTCCCCCTGAGCAATTTTTGCTGATGGGTAGGGTCTGCAATCAGACCAATGGTCTGCCCTCACCTCCTGCTGGGGCTGCCCTATGACTGGTATATGTGGTTATCTTCCCCTCACTCCAGGACAGGAGTCACTTTGGAGTGATGCTGGCCATTTCTGGCACTGTTTGTACACTGCCAGGCTTGTTGGCCCCTGTTTGAATAGGCCAAGAGCATTTTGAAGTGGATGTGCCACCATTAGTGGGATGGAATGACTGGGGTGGGGCTCATAGTTTTAGCAAGGGGTGCATTAGTCTTTCATGGGGCTTCTGCCACCAGGGGGACTGAGGCCTCACAAAGTGCATGGGTCAGAAGATGCAGTGTTGGCAAGGTTTGTGCCTGTCTTCTAGGGGAGGGGACAAACAGCACCAGGACTAAGGAAAGCATGACTGGAAAAGGAAGATCCACTGAAGCTGGGAGGGAGTTTCTTAGTGTAAGCAAATTAGGTAGTGATGCCTGCACAGTGCTGGTTCCTGCAAGTGTCTGTGTGTTTATGCTGCAGGGCTGAGGAGGGAAATTGGACCTGCTAGCTCCTTTGTTTCTGAAGAAGTCCCTTAGGGATCCTGCCAGTTCCTTTGTCCCTGAAAAGTCCCCCAGTGATTTATGTCCTCCAGGACATGTTCTGAGATTAGTAAATAACACTCCCTCCCATCTGCCCCAGGCATTTTTCAAACTGCTGCTTTTATACTGCAACTCCATGGGCTATTCATCTGCTATCCCTTTAAGGGCAGTGACTCTGCTTCCCATTACCCTCCAGGCTCTCCCAGAACCAAAACTGCTGATTTTCAAAATTCCAGGCTTTAAGCCCCACTGGTTGTAAGAACTCATGAAATTCCATGCCTCAAGTTTTCAAAGCCAAATATATTCCCTGTGGGGACGCCCCAGTGTTAGGGTCTGTTTCTTTCCTCTATGTCTACAGGTTCTGTCCTTCCACCAAATGGCCTGTGGTCTATTTAGCTCCCTGTCACATCTCCACCTTGCCTATCCTCTTAGATGTGGCCCCTTTGCCTCTAGTGTTGAGTTTGTTCAGCCAGTCTTTTTCTGGGTTATTTACGCTGATGTAGATATTATCTATTTGTATCTGTGGAACAATGTGATCTTAGGGCCCTCCTATTCTATCATCTTCCCAGCCTCTCTGGAATTAGTCAATATTTTTTAAATTGTCTTTTATTATAACTCAGTTTGAATAACCAGGTATAACCAGATCCCTGATTACCATTCATTGGTTCTTCTGAATATATAAGCTCATTTATTATTTTGTTTTGAGGTATGTGTATGTGTGTGTGTATCTTGCCTAGTTGAATTAACTAGAATTTACAAAATAGTATTATACAAAGACAGATAGTAGGTACTCATGAGGACTTTATATAATAAAATAATACTTTATTTACCAGATAATATTGAAGTATGAAAAAATCTATAAGAAATTGTATGAAATTAAAGGAAAACTATTATGTCAAACAGACCAAGCTTCTGCTGATCAGCTCTAACATTCCAGATTTTGTGACTTTGAAGTTACTTAACTTCTCAATGCCTCAGATTCCTTGTCTGCAAATTGAGGATAATGAAAGTATTTACCTCTTAGTATCTCCATGAAGAGGTATTGAAATAATGCATGCAGAGCAAATAAAATACGCAGTGCCTGGTGCTAAAGTCCTCAGTATCAGTGCTTCTTAACCTGTTTTAATTCTCCTTTAGGAATCTGATGAAACTTTTGGACTCCTTCCTTCCAAAATACACACAGACACAGAAACAAAATTTGGCATATTATTTTATAGGGTTCATGAAAAGGCAGACCCTGGATTAGAATTGCCTGTTTCATATTTTTAGCTTTCTTTTTGATCAACCTAAATGTATTAAAAAAAAAAACCCAGATAATAGTTTTCCTTTAATTAAAAAAAATATTATAGATTTTGCTTTTTGTACTTTGGCCAAATATTATGTGGTATATATAGCTTCACACAAGTTATATCCTCATATATATCTGTGTAATATAATAATATAAATCAGTTTTATTTGTTTTTATTAAATCCATATAATAGATGACTTCTTTTTTCGACTACTGCAGTCTTTCTTCATATTTATTTTCTTCTTCTTTTTTTATCTTTTTTTAAAATCTTTATTTAAATTTGCCAGCAAGGATCATTATACTTATTATTTTCCCTTTCCTCATTTTATAATTATTCATCTTGTTTATACCCTTTATTTCTTTGATTACTTTTTTTAGTAGCTTTGAAATCTTGTTACATGATCAGTTTTTCATTTTCCTATCATTTTATTTATTTTTTAAGATTTTATTTATTTGTTTGAGAGAAAGGGAGAGTGAGTGAGAGAGAGGAAAGAGAATCTGAAGCAGACTCTGCACTGAGCACCTAGACAAACAAGTTGAGGGACTTAATCCCTCAACTGCATCATGACCTGAGCCAAAACCAAGAGTTGGATGCTTAACTGAGCCACTCAGTTGCCCCTTATTTTAAATGAGAAAAATTCTGATACTATTCAAGTATTTTCAACTACCTCGAATTTTCTCATTTTTAAAATAGATCTCTTGTGATCGAGAATAAAACATATATCCTTTTATATTTTGAAATTTTTTACAGCTTGTAAAAAATCTTTTACAAATATGATAAGTATTTGTTAGTACTCCATGGTTATTGAAAAAGATAATTAAATTCTCTCATTTAATATAATTTATTTATACCTCTTTATCAGTTTTAGTAAAGACCTCTTCTTTTGAAGAATTTTTAATTTTTACCTGAAAAATGCTGATAATTGAATGCTTCATCTCCTATAACTGTGTTTGTTTCTCCCTTATCTTTAGTAATTTTCTCTAATAATTTCTATTTCTCCTTGTATTTTTAATAATTTGACAGACTGTAACTTTTATTTATTTTTTTTAATTTTTTATTTATTTATGATAGAGAGAGAGAGAGAGAGAGGCAGAGACACAGGCAGAGGGAGAAGCAGGCTCCATGCACCGGGAGCCCAATGTGGGATTCGATCCTGGGTCTCCAGGATCGCGCCCTGGGCCAAAGGCAGGCGCCAAACCGCTGTGCCACCCAGGGATCCCCATGACTGTAACTTTTAATAATTATTTTTAAATAATTAAACTTTTTAAACAGTTAACTATTTCTTTTATTATTTTAAATCATTGTATATATCTCTTAACATTCTTTCATTTGAATTAAACATTTTGTCATATTAAAATGTCCCTCTTGATTTATTTGTGGTCATGTTTAATATAATTTCCCCATACTTTTATTAGGAGACATCTACTTTGTTCTGTTCAATTGTGATTCTTCAAATTATACTTGTAAAAACATGTACTGCTCTTTGCAGATGATGGTATAGTAATTTAGTGAGGAGTGCTTATTTTTTCTTCTCAAGATCCTTTTTTATCACTGGTTGTGCATCCTGGAATATATATATATATATATATATTATGTTATTGTGTTATTTTATAACATTATGTGTTAATGTTATAAAACACATTAGTAATTTAATAACTACTCTTTTTAAAAAATTATATGTGGATCCAAAAAAAATAATGCATCCTTGCTGGCAATTGTTGACCCATAGATTTGAATGTGTATTTCTTTAGTATCACCAGTGTCTGACACTCAACCTTCCTCACATTTAAAATTTGAAGATCTGCTGCCCATCAGCAGTTAGAGAATCATGCTATTTTCTTAATCTTTATTCATGACCTGGAGTGTTTTAGCATTTTTTAGGACTATCAGTATGATTTCAGAGTAATTAGAGAGACACTATTTTTCTATTTCATCAAAAATCTTAATTTTGCATTTTCCTAAACCAAGCTATTTATCTCTAAAAGTTAAATAAATATCTTCCCCTGAAAATTCTACTGAAATCCCTGACATATAGTTGTTCAGAATCTGATAATTCATTAAAGCCATGAATATGTCAAATTAATCTTCCCAAGATATGAAAATTATCTAATATATTCTAAGACTTTCCATTTCAAACAGTGGATATTAGACTCTTTGATTTTTCTGTCCAGTAGAGAAAAGATATTCTGAGTCCAGCACAAAATTTTCTACCTTATATTTATATCACTGTCTTTTAAAAAAAATATTTTTTCACCTAAAAAAAAAAAATTGGGAAGGACTGTTATCCAGATCACACATCTCTAAGAAATAACAACTATGTCATAACTTATCTTTCCAACTGCTGATGGACAGGTTTCTTTTGCCAAGAACTGGAGGATGCATCCCAATAATATCAGAAATATTAAAATGTGAGAAACACAGTATCACAGTTTAGAGAAAATGTGGCAGTAATATATTTCAACTAAAGTTCAGCATAGCTTTGTGGGCTTGCTTGGAAATGTAACCACTCTTTACTATTATGTCTTTGGAGAAGTATATTCTGGTTTCTAAATAACTGATTACAGATGATTTTTAAGAAGAAATTCATTCCTTTATATTTAAAGCACAATTGTCATTTTTATGAGAATATTTAAAACTCACATGTTATATGAAGTTTAGCAATAGGCCTCATTTTCTAGTACATTCTCTCTTACACAAGAAAAAGCCACTAAACTCAGGTTATATTTGCTCTCTCCTCTATTTAATAATTATACCTTTTTCTTACCAGCTTTGTAGATCCCTTACTGCAATTTGAATCCCAACTGAATATAATAGAGTCATCCTTTAAAATGGTATTTGCTATACCAAGTCTTGAGAAAGTGAGAGAAATGGGAACCAGTGAAGATGACAAAGAGGACTTGGAAGTGAGTCTTTGCTTCCTTAAATTATTATGAGACATTGTTGTGTACCACAGCAATCTGGAAGAATGCCCCACCACAGGTCATAATTTTTGTTGTTATCTCCTTCACCCCTTTTAGATGCAATAAATTAATAATATATTCCAGCATTAATCTATACCCCTGGACTCCTTGTGAATTTTACAACTCATGGGATTTAATGGATTGTAAAGGAGATATAGGAACAAATGAGTGAAGAGATTTTTAGTTGTTTTAGCAAGAATAAGAGTGTATGGGCAAATGCTGCAAAAATGGAAATGGGAGTAGAGAAAGATGGAGAGAGGAATATCCCTACAGTAAGGTCAACAACATCTCTGGTCTCTATTTCCAGAGCACAGCTACACAATGTATCTGTTCCATAAGTTGGAATTGCAATTCACAGCACATGGTACTGAGAGAAGTCCCATATCTATAGCTACCTCTCTCCTTTCTTACCTTCAGTTTGCAGGGCAAACACAGGACTCCAGGACATGAAACTATAGACTTTGAGTAAAATCATATCGAATTTTATCTGGCTGCTGGTCATATATTTTTTTTTGTTTTTTCAGAATTTATATCAAAGTATTTTAAACATGTTTGAGGAAACTCTTCTGCTCTTAGTGTCTAAAGACTTCTACAAACTGCAAATCTTAAAGGTAAAGGGAAAATAAGCAGTTTTGTTTTCTTGTCTTAAATCTAAAGAGCTCACTATACTTCACTTATTTCCCCTTTCCCAAACTTATATCTTCTTCAAGTATCTAGTGGCTGAATTTTTTTTCTTTTCCTCCCAAGTTGTATAATTATTCCCAAAATGAAATCACTTCCCTTTATTTGAATTACAGAGACATACTTTAAAGAATTCAATTTTGGGAAGATGGCATCAACAGAATAATTAAAAAGCCAAAATATTATGTGGCAATGTAAGAGTGACTACAATATGGGTTAGGAGAGAAGAGAGGGTGACTGGCTTGAACTACCTACAGATCTGTGTAAAAACAAACTGTACTTTGATAGTGTCTATATGGTTGCTTCTTCCCCAAAAACTCTGGACCTAAATAATCCCATGAGCATCCTATCTTCATGGATACCATGGTATCAGAGGAAAGCCTAACAACTGTCCAAACCCCCATTTATATCCAGATCTCACTGTGTTTTCAACATCCCAGGCAGAGACAGGAGACTGCTCAGGATTTCTTATGATCTTCAACTGTTTCTAATATGATGGCATCAAGGGCACTTGTCTGGAAATACTGAGAAACCAGATTGATTTACTCTACCAGGAGCATTACGAGTTTGTGCAAATCATAAAATACATTCAAGTAAAGAAGGAGAATTGGTATCTATGAAGAAAAGAAGGAATATGAGGGAAAATAAAATATACCGAGTTACTTTGTGCCTAATTTGAGTCAAGTATTTTCTGTGCATTTAAAAAACCTCACAACACTTTAAAGTAGTTATTATCTCATTATTGCAACCATATCCCCATGCATGGTCTTTCAACCAATAAACCATTGGTTTTGAGCCCTTACTCTACATCAGACACTAAACTGAATACTTCATATATTGGTTGTCTCATTTAATCCTTAAAATAACCCTTTGAAGAAGTTACTATTATTTTCCCCCATTTTACTGTAAGAAAATAGAACTGGAAAGAGGAACAATAATACATACAAGGCTAGTGAATGGGAGAGCTACTCTAACTTAGTAACCTGTTACTTAACTATGTTGTTCTTACACTTTCCATGACTAGAAACTCACCCAATTCTTGAAAAGAGCTAAAATACCAGTCCCAGAAAAGGTACAGGCTGAACCCCCTGGGATTTAGAGACTCTTCTGTCCTAGGAAATGGACTTCAGAGCAGTTTTATACAATGGGAGCAAGTAGAAGAGAGAATATGTAGCATAAATACCATGGACTCCAACAGAGTGCCTTAAGAAATTTGTTAGTGTTTGTTGGCATATGAGGCATATGCAGTCTTTTTCCCTTCCCAAGCTTGTAAATATGTCCCTGCATCTGAAGATTTAGAACAAATAGAAGTTACAGCAAGATGGAGTTGAATCAAAATTAGCAAGAACTTTCTAACCAAGCTGCCTCCAGGAATATTCTTTGCAACCATGAGCCAGAAAATATCTGAGTGTTGAATCTGCAGAGGAAATTCTGGAGTAAGATAACATTTCAAGATCAGATGACATTTCAATTCTTTTTTAAAACTGAAAATAAAATCCTGTAATTAGAGATAGAGGATATGTACTTTCAAAGAAAAAAAAAGGAGAAGCAGCTTATAGTCCCATCATAGCCTCCTATTAAACTGTCCATGTTGACTGACAGAGTGACTTATAATGCATATCATTAGTAAATATTTGTTGTATAGAATTAAATGACATACAACACAGTTGTAGTTACTACAGTAGATGAAGTAATATACTAGATAGCTTGTAGTATACAACTTGCTTGTCATCTTTTTGAGATAAATGTAGGTTAGATGTGAAATAATAAGGAGCCCACAAGGACCTTTCAGTTGGTGGAGTTGGGGACTAAACGGAGGAGACTTGTAGAGATGGAAATACCATGCTCTAGGATGATTCTTATGTTTTCCACAGGACATGATTATGTGGATGAATGAAGATACTTCGTACCTGCAGGAAAGAGTTATGATGATCATCAGCAGTGTGCTAAGCTTTGCATCCAAGAAAGTCAAGAGATATGTAAGTCACAGAGTGCAGTCATGCCACCTGCTTCTGAAGACTTCATTTCTATAGTGCTACTTTCCAAGTGTTGGGTCTTGAGAACTCTAAGTGCCTGCTTGGTATGAGCATGCTGGCAGGTTGGGATATTAAGAGAAGAGCCAATATACTACATGATTTTATGTCAATCAGAGCAGAGTCTCTCAACCAATTGATTAAGACTCTTTTTGCTTTCCACAAACAGAATGTGTCAAAATTTTTGCTGGCCTTCCAGATTCTCTGTGGATCACGATCAATGTTATTCACAATCTTATAAATCCTTCTATCCCTACTTTCTTTCTTTTTTAAAAAAGGTTTTATTTATTTATTCTTGAGAGTCAAGAGAGAGGCAGAGGCATAGACAGAGGGAGAAGAATGGTCCGCATAGGGACCCCAATGTAGAACTCGATCCTGGAACCCAGAATCATGCCCTGAGCCAAAGGCAGATGCTCAACTGCTGAGCCACCCAGGTATCCCATCCCACCTTCCTTCTTATTTCTCCTTTTTCTAAAATATTTTTGAACCATTATATATTTATTTGAAATGTATGCAAGTAATTCCTGGGTCCTCTCATTGTAAAACTTGCTAGAGATAAAGAAGAAGTTTTCTCCTACCCTACTTTCTACCCTAATCTCCTCCCTAGCATGCTACTGTGATATGGGTCCTGCCAGACAGCCATCTCTGTACACATCCATATACATGCATATACTGAGATAAACAGCTTTTTACTTAGTGTTTCTTTATTAAAAATCACCTTATATTTACACCTGTTTCTGCAATTTGATTTTTTTCACTGAACAGTATAGTATGTTCCTCAGATACTTTCATAACAATATATGTAGATTTATCTCATTCTTTTAGCCAAAGCATAAACCCATAGTTTTAAAGTATTGTAACCTCCTTTGATGGACATTCAAATATATTTCGGATTTTTCTACTTCAAACAATGTACAAAAGATCATCTTTGTTCAAGTACATATGTACTTAGAAATCCTTAGAAAGATAATAGATCAAAGACTATGAATACGTGATAGTTTTAGCACTACAAAATTATCTCCAGTTTATATTCCTGTGGATATTAGAGTGATCATTTCCCTTCACCTTACCAACGCTGAGAAGTTATTGAACTTTCTAATTGTTACCTTCAGAGGGAGAAAAAATAGGCATCTCATAATTGCCAATATTTGCTGAGTTTTTCTATAGTTTTAATAACATCATTGCCTCCCTTCTAAAAAAATCTTACTGTGAACATTTCTCTCTTACATGGATACTGTGTACCCAGCCTATTTTGCAACTCACCCCTTTATAAAAAAAATATATATATATATATTATTTATTTATAGAGACAGAGACACAGGCAGAAGAAGCAGGCATCACAGAGAGTCCGACAGGGGACTCAATCTGGGGTCTCCAGGATCACGCCTGGGCTGCAGGCGGCGCTAAAGCCGCTGCGCCACCGGGGGGTGCCCATTTGTAGCTCAGCCTTAACTGTGACTTTTAAACATACACTTCTAATGGTTTATTTGATAGTTTGAATAATTTCAGGAGTTCAGAATAAAGGGGATCAGAAACATACATTCATAACATCTTCATGTACTCATTTTCTATTACTTATACAAAAAAGTAAATGTATAGATCCACATCTGCGACAGAAGGCTCTCATAAATTGAAGGTTCCTGCCTACAACACATTTGTTTAAGGAAGCCAAGTAGGATAACCTATTACTTTGTTCCGCAATGTTCATTTAGTGCCACCAGGTGGAAGCACAACCAGCATTTTCCAGAACATGGAAGCTAAGCTTCCACCAGTTCATCAAAGTCAAGAAAGCATAAAACTTAACTGTCTCTTTATGATAATGTCCTTGAAAGATGGTTAGTCCATGAAATTAATGGAGGAGAGAGGTCAAATAAATGAAATAAAACAGTTGAATGTATGATTAAATTAAAAACTAAGCTTCCATTAGGACGCCTGAATGGCTCAGTGGTTGAGCATCTACCTTCAGCTCAGGGCATGGTCCTGGGGTCCTGGAATGGAGTTCCGCATCGGGCTCCCTGCATGGAGCCTGCTTCTCCTCCCTCTGCCCATGTCTCTGCCTCTCTCTCTGTGGGTCTCATGAATAAATAAACAAAATCTTAAAAAAAAACCTAAGCTTCCCACAAGCTTCGTCTGTGTACCTCTACGTCTGACATAGTGTAGATAATCAGTGAAGATTTGTTTTGCTCTTCTCTAATTATATGTAACTACCTATTCTGTTTTCAGGTGCTGTCCATTCACCAGAAACACCTTTTTTAATTTTTTAATTTTTTTTTTACAAATTACGCTAGCCTATGTTTTCTAGAGTCTCGGGGACCCTTGTCTTATTGAACAATCTTGACTACCATTTGTATTCTATCAAAAATACTTTTTAGTGTAGTAATTCCCCTTATATGACCTATGTGCTATCAGAGTGAAAAAAAAACTTCTATGCTCAAAGAATATTTGTTCTTTTACATATATTTAAACTATAAATTTTCAGACAAGCAAAGAAATGTGAGCTAAACATGTCATTTTATTAACTGAAAGATTTTCCCTGGGTTTGTTCCTTTGACACATCAGCATTTAAAATATGGGTGAGAGTTAAGGAGGAAGATGACAGTGGAGTTGGAGGACCCTAGGCTTGCCTTGTTGCATGAATACAAGTAGGTAATTATCAAATCATCCTAAATATCCCATAAATCAACCTGAAGACTGGCAGAACAAACTCCATAACTAAAGGTAGAGAAGAATCCAAATCAAAGATGGTAGGAAATGTGGACACATGGCTTGAAAGAGAAATCATTAATGCTGTGGTTGGGAGAAGGGCAAGAGATAGACTAGCACAAAGGGAAGCACACAGAGATGATTCCCCAGAGCAATTGGCTTGGAAAGCAAGAGGGGCCAAATTTCCTAAGTTTTTGCAACCACTGGGGCTTAAAGGAGTTGTAAAAGTCAGCAGGCTTAGAGAGCTTAGTTGAGATAGTACTGCTGTTAGAGAGAAGGCAGGAAAAACAACCTGTGGACATAGAGTGTGAAAACAGTGATATTAAGAGCACTTGAGACACAGTGGGGAGGTTATTTGCTCTTCTCTGAATATGTTCCAGAGAGGCAGCATTCATTCCTCCAAGAACAAAGAAACTCTCCCTCCTCTCAGCATTAACACAGAACCATATGCAGAAACCAGCACAGCACCAATACTAGCTACCTAAGCTACCTATAAGCTACCTTGCTTATACCAAGCCCTGGCCCCCTCCCCCTCTCCATGTTTCAGTAGAACCACCCTTCCCAATCACATTTGCCTCAGTCCCAGCCCAGCAGGTCTCCTTTCCCAGAAAAATGGCCCAAACCCCTGGCCACACTGAGTCTCTTGACACGGGAGTTTTGCAGTGCCTTGGTTCTGGTAGTCATGGCAACAAGTCTCATCTTACAAGCAGACCAGAGCACACCTAGTTAAAACTTGTCATATTCATGCCAGGAACCAAACATTCCCCACAATAGGCAAAGAAGGCCTCTGCAAATACCTGGTCTGAAGGATAAAGTGGCCAGAACACAACAGCAAAGTGCACACACATACATTGGAGATACTCCCTGAATCAAAAAGCCCTGGGGAAGAGGGGACACTACACTGCAGAGCACCATAGGACCTGTTCTTCATAAGGCCATTACCCTCAAGAACAGGAGGCATAGCTGACTGTTCTAATGCACAGAAACAGATACAGAGACTTAGACAAAATGAAAAGATTGAGGAATTAATCCCAAATAAAAGAACAGGACCAGCCCACAGCCAGATGTAAGTAAAAAACATATAAATAACATACCTGATAGAGAATTTAAAGTAATGATCATAAAGACACTTACTAGAGAAGAGAGTGGAAAGCACCAAGGAGACCATTAACACAGAGATAAAGAATTATATTACATAGATAAAGGGCTCAGTAGATGAAATCAGAAATATGACTGATGAAATGAACAGCAGGCTGGAAGAAGCAGAGGAACAAATCAATGATCTAGGAGACAGAGTAATGGAAAATAATCAAGCTGAAAAAAAGAGAGAGAAGAATTGTGTAAAATGAGAATCCATCAAACATAACAATCATATTGTAGGAGTCCCAGAAGAAGAAAAAAAGAAAAAAGCAGGAAGAAATTTTATTTGAAAAAATAATATCTGAAAAGTCCTCAGGAAGGAAACAGATATCCAGATCCCCCAACAAAATCAACAAAAGCAGATTCACACCAAGATATGTTGTAATTAAAATTGCAAAATACAGTGATTAAGAAAAAAAAATTGAAGCAGCAGGACAAAAGACATTAGGCAGTTACAAGGGAAAGCCCATGAGGCTGGCAGGAGATTTTTCAACATAAACGTGACAGGCCAGAAGGGAGTGGCATCATATATTCAAAGTGATGAATGGGAAATATCTTCAGCCAAGAATATTCTATCCAGCAAGGCTGTCATTCAAAATAGAAGGAGAGATAGAGAGTTTCCTGAAAAATAAAAACTAAAGGAGTTCATGACCACTAAATCAGTCCTGGAAGAAATACTAAAGGGTAATCTGTGAATAAAAAGCAAAGGCCAATAAAAAGACGGGAAACACAAAAGCAATAAAAATTAATATTTCTGTAAAAAAAATCAGCCAAAAATGTAAAATATGATAACATATACCTAAAATGTGGAGAGAAGAGGAGAAAACAATGGGTTCAAATTTTTTTTTTTAAATTTTTATTTATTTATTTATTTATGATAGTCTGATAGTCACACACACAGAGAGAGAGAGAGAGGCAGAGACACAGGCAGAGGGAGAAGCAGGCTCCATGCACTGGGAGCCCGATGTGGGATTCGATCCTGGGCCTCCAGGATCGCGCCCTGGGCCAAAGGCAGGCGCTAAACCACTGCGCCACCCAGGGATCCCCAATGGGTTCAAATTTAAGCAACCATCAACCTAATGTAGACTGCTATATATGGAAGA